ACAAGACAAGTATAATCATACTGTACAGAAGCACTTGGGGATTTATAATCCTGGAGAATTTCTGAATATCTCTTTATGTAATGAAATCTGTGAAGGATATCAATGTTGATCAGGACCTTCACTTCACTTCAAATGGGCATAAAAAAAATTAAGAATATATATATTTTTAAATCACAAGAGTCAATAGCTGAATTATTTGAGGGTGTCTTTTCCAACTAAGTTATAAATGCTGCATGTTACTTTTGATTTTTTTTATTTAATAAACAATTTCAGGTAGATGAACAGTTGACATGAAGCCTTTAATTCCACTTTGGATCTGATGCCACATACAAAACCACCCATGCTGTGCTCATGTTTCCTGATAGCAGGCAGCCAATGTGGTCATGGTTCTGAAGGCTCCAGGTTACTCACAGAATAGGATTTTCCCAGCCTCCATGATAAATGAGAGTTTCACATCTATAATTTCCCAGAATTAGATTAGGTAGCCCAATTGCTGGGTAAAACCAACTGTTTAATCAATAGTAAGCTTTCTTGGACTCAGACTTATAGTCTGAATTTAAATTCCTAATCTAATTGAAGTACTGTAAATAAGTAGCATTTATACAAATTTGCTTTTAAGTCCATCCACTAATTCTGATATGGACTAATATCACAGTAAGCTCAGTTCATTCTGATTTTTTAAATTTATATGGAATCTTAGATAATAACCATCAAACTGTAATGTTTCATTTTGATATGTATCCAAACCAACAATAGCTACCAAAAAACCCCATAGAAATGGAATAATCCTTTACTGTTTAACTGCATTCTACTAAATGTTTTAAACTCTGGAAGGGACCTTTGAGTCCATTGGTCAGGGCTCCCTCCCTATTTCACCATGGAGGGAACCCAGGCACAGGAAGGTCAATGACTTCTCTGAGGTACTTGGAGAAAGAGGCAGAGCCCCTGTCCATCACAGCTGATCTGGCCTTGAGGGAGGAGGCACTCCCCAAAGGAAGACAGAGGCACTCCCCAAAGGAAGTAACATTTCTTTACTTCTCAGGCTAACACACAGGCTCTCAATGCAGGGCTCACACCCTTAACAAGCAAGCATTCATTACAGAAGGGAGAGCTATCTCTGAAATGCAACTGAGTAGCTAAAAATGTACCAATGTGAAGGTAGAAACAGACCATGCAGCATCACCAGGATCCTCACACAAACCAAAACACTCTTTAACCAAAACGACTTGTCATTTGACATCACACATCTCTTATGTAGCTTACTGTAAACCTTAAGTAAACCATGCAGGTTATGCTCTAATTTTCTTTATCAAAAATCTTTCCTTTGCAGCTTTTAAAAGCATTAAGTTCTTCAAGCACACAAAAAATGAATTTGACAGGAATTTTTTTTTCTCTCCTGTAAGTATTAGTGTTTCTTTTTCTTTTTTTTCCATTACTAGCAATAGTTCAAAGTTTCCGTAAGTGCCTTGACGTTCCAATTGTTTGTCTTCTCCAAATCAGATAAAATAGTACCGTTTTCCCAAAAGGGAAGTCAGGAATATTTTCTCTTTACAGGTATTTATCATAGCATTTAATTTCAGATATAAAGATCTATCCTTTAACTTGTATCTTTAATATGGGAAACTAGTTGTGTTTTTGTTGTTGTTGTTGTTTTGTTTTTTTTTTTGGCCATAGACTCTAACTTTGACCTCATCATATATATCCTATGTTAAATATCCTGAAAAATTTCCCTGTACTTGTATCATGGTATAAAATCGTACCGAATGTTTTTAGAAAATTAATGACTTTGATATCAAACACCTAAATAGAATCAGGTTTCCATCAGAAAGCAATGTCTTGAATTATATACATAGGAATGAGAGCAGAGAGATATAGTGACAACAGCCTATTGCTCAAGCAGAAGCTGATTCTTCTTGCATCACACAGCGAAAGTTCTAGTAGGCAATGTTAGAACTCTGAATAATACCAAATAGTCCTAATGCTTAAAACTTTCAAACAGAGTTGTTTAGGTTAACAGGTCCACAGGATAAATATGTTCATTGTAATTCAGCTTTTTTGTGTGTGTGGGTGCAACATTTTTTTTTTTAAAGATTTTATTTATTTATTTGGTAGAGATTACAAGTAGTCAGAGAGGCAGGAAGAGAGAGAGAAAGAGAGGAGGAAGCAGGCTCCCCGCTAAGCAGAGAGCCCAATGCGGGGCTCGATCCCAGGACCCTGAGATCATGACCTGAGCTGAAGGCAGAGGCCTCAACCCACTGAGCCACCCAGGCGCCCCGGGTGCAACATTTTTTTAAAAATATTTTATTTATTTATCTGATTGAGAGAGAGAGAGATCACAAGTAGGCAGAGCAGCAGGCAGAGAGAGAGAGAGAGGAAAGCAGGCTCCTCCTTGAGCAGAGCCCAATGTGGGGTTCAAGCCCAAGACCCCAGGATCATGACCTGAGCCTAAGGCAGACATTTAACCGACTGAGCCACCCTGGCGCCCCTATGTGCACGTGCAACATTTTACCCCTTTCAGTGACCAGAGGACTCAGAATTAGGTACACATCTGATTGCAGATACAATTAAATACCCAAGGGTCTGCCAAGTGGGTGGAAAGGGTGACAACAAAGACATTTGTCCCAACTGCTCTCTGTGGATTATACAACATCTCATGGGCTTTTTTCAATAGATTCTGCTGAACGATTTTTTGTTGTCGTTATGAACCAAAACAACTTGATAAGAACAGAAGAGTCACTGTATTAGAAACAAGAGAATATAATTAGGGCGTGGTGTTAAAGGATAGTTTCCAACACTGGGTCACAAAATGCCCAGCCTCCTCTCTTCTGGGAAAACTGAGATTTGGGGAAGGGAATGGAGATTCTGTATTGCAATGTTTATGGGAGGGGAATGAGGGCATGAGGGGAGTTCGAAAAATTTTATATCATCTCTGAAGTTACCCTGAGCAGGCTGGTACAAAAGAATTTGAAGTGGTTTCCATTCAGATGAGGCAGAAGGTGTTTCTTTTATTAGTTAAGGTCATAAAACTTTTAATCAGCTTAAGCCCTTGTGGGTGTTTTAAAACCATTATCACAGACACACACGGAGATCCCATATTTTCATCCGGAGGTACTGTAATCTGTGTGCTGAGGAGGAGGGGAAATGAGCCAGGCTAGAAGGGTGGACCTCAGGACTGGGCACCATGGCTGCACCCCTCCTATTTGCCCTCCGAGCTCCCTTTGTGAAACTGTCATTTCCCTCCTCCTGGTCCTCTTTCCCACTTTTAGGGTAAAAAATGAAAAAAAAAAAAAAACCACCTTGTCATTTTCAGCCAAAGTCTCTGGGTTTTATTCCAAATTACCCCCCCTTTTTTTTGAGATTTTATTTATTCATGAGAGACAGAGAGAGAGGGGGAGAAGGAGGCTCCCCACTGAGCAGGGAGTCCGCCCAATGGGGGACTCGATCCCAGGAACCCGGGATCATGACCTGAGCCGAAGGCAGGCACCCAACCATCTGAGCCACCTAGGTGCCCCGAAATTACCTTTTGACAGGTAAATGTGTTTTCCCCAGCTATGTTCTCTTTGCAAAACAGGCGGCCGGTGGTGGCACTGCTCAGCCTGGGACCCAGGGGTTTCCACCTTCTATACTCACTGAGCAACAGAAGCAGGAGTCACCCAACCTCTGTTATGTACACCGTGGTTCCACTAGTTTATGCTATGACCTCCTGCCTTCAAGAAGGTCTATTTTCATAATAGATGTGTATTTACTAACTTAAGGGTGTAAGTAAAAGACCACTGTGTTTGACTCATTGGCACGTATGACTTCGTGGCCAAATGTCCTCTATAAGAAGCCGGCTTTGATAGGGCAACATATGGTTATATGGTTTTTCTTCCTCAATGATTCTTGTTTCTAAAATGCCGCTGAAATTTCCAAGTGGAAGCTGTTGCCTTCTAACCCATTTCCAGGGCTAATCCGGTCCCACGGCATGCAGCAGTGAGGTTTACCCTCTCAGGGGTCAGTGTGAGGGTCAGGGAGCTGTGGGGCTTCCTCCAAAGCCAGCTCTCCTACTGGCCAGCAGGCAAATTCCAAGGGATAGAAAGGATTAACGGCTCCAAAGAGGATTCTGCAGCCCTCCCCCCAAGGAGGATCTAAAACTCTGGTCTAGTTCTGGAACAAACAAAAGCCCCTGCAAAGGAGAAAGTGCCTGTTTGAATAGCATATGTCCTTCCCAAAGCATGTGCGCCTTCCAGGCTGACCGGGAAGAGCCCCTTGCAATAGGCAAGTAGGGGCAGTTTCAATGTCTGGTTTCCTAAGTAGGGTCAGCACTTGTGGGGAAGGTCACCGGAACCCCAAACCCAAACGTCTTCTAGCTGCTTTTGGTAACTAGATTGATGAACTCTGCCAAGAAGCTCAATGGCGTTCCATAGAGAAAGCACTTTGCACAGACTTCGCTTTGCACGCTATCCTAAGCTTAGGCCCCAAAGGATTAAGGTAATATAACCTGCTTACATCTTCTAGTTTTGTCCAGGAAACCAAATCACCACCCACACAGCAAAACAACTCCCCCAGCCCGACTTCATTTCACCTCATCCCCCTTTCAAACTAACCCACGCAGAGAGTGGGAATCTCTGGTAGCGGTGGGGGCACCAAACTCAGACTCCGTGTAAACACGCCCCAGCAGCACACGTGGTCACCCATTAACTCTGAGGAATCTGGGGTCACCGTGGGACGGTTTTCTATTAATAGGGGATAAAGCTGCTGCATACATTAGCGGTAATGCCCTGGATGCCCGCGCAAAATTAACTCCTCCCCGGCCAGCAAGAGGAAACCATGTTCTGCTTAAGCAGATGTGTGCTTGAAACATGCATGTGCGCACGCACACACACACACACGGGGTTTTAGAACCCCTTCCCTTAAACGTGCCAAATCCCACTCCCATCCCCAGTCCAGGCGATTGCCGTCGTTCCCGAGGGATGTCTCCCGGGAGGGAGCGGTAGTGGCAGGAGAAAGTCGTATGTCGGTCAGCTCAGCTTCGCCACGCAGACTGCCAGGGCCACAGCCGCCAGCAGCACGGCGCTGAAAACGGTGGCGGCCAGGGCCTTGTTCGGGTCGCAGGGCCCCGTGCGCTCCTGGACGGACACGGCGCCCACCGAGGAGACGCGTACGCTGGCGCTGGACAGGAGCTCGGCGCCCGCCGTTTGCCGGGCCTGCACCGTCCAGCGGGGCACGTTGACCTTCATCTCCATTTCTTGGATCATCTCGCTCACCTGAAGGATCTCGTGCTCCAGCTCGCGCAGGTCGTCAACGTCGAAGTTGCCCTCCGCCTCGTGCGGCAAGCTGCGGACGCTCAGGGCGCGCGCTGCTACGCCCGCGGAGCCGCCCGCCACGCCTGTGCGCACCAGCGGCCGCCGCGGCGCGTGCAGTGGGAACGCAGTGCCCAGGGCCAGTGCGCGCCGCATGTCGGCTTCCAGCAGGTCCAGGCAGCCGGAGAAGGCCACCCAGAGGCGCTCGAACTCGGCGCGCTCCTCGGCGCCCAGGCCCCGGTCGCGCAGCGCGGCCGTCAGCTGGGCGCGGGTGGCCACCGCCAGCTCCTGTGCCTTCCGGCGCGTCTTCTGCAGTTCCTCACGCAGGTTCTGCGAGTCCGCCGAGCCGCCCACGGTCAGCACCAGTTGGTGGTAGCATGCGGTCGCCTTGTTGAGAGCGTCCAGCAGTGCCTTGCACTCCTCCCTCGCCATGGCTGTGCGCTCTGGCGCAGCCCGGCCGCCCGCGCCCTTCTCCGTTCCACGCCCTCAGCGCAGCGGGACGCTGCCAGCCCCGACGGCGGCTCCCGGTCGAGCGGCCTGAGCGCTCCTCATGGCCCGAGACTGGCTCGGCGCTGCCGATGTTGTCGACGAAGCCTCTGGAGACCCGCGACGTGAGCCTCTGCGGACCGGACGCAGAGAGACAGCCCAGTTAGCTATCTCCCATCCCCTCATCCATCCTCCCCCGATTTGCTCGGAGTCACACGCCTAGTCTCTGCACCGCCCTCGCCTCCACGGAGGCTCTCTGCGAAGCCCGGGTTGCGGTCCCCATCCTTCTCCGGTGCCGTCGCCAGGGCTAGCCGGCCTCCGAGCCGCGCGCTCCGCCTTAGCCGCTGCCCAGGGCTGCGGGGTCGGGTTTCTTAGGATCCGCCTACCCCCTCCCGTCCTCCGAGGGCGCTTCCATCCCTTAGACAGTGGATGGGCGGGGCCCCGCGCGGGGAGGTCACGTGTAGGTTCCCCCATCTCCTCCTTCTCCTCTCCCCGTTACAGTTCGGGAATACTAGGGCTCGGCAGTTCCAACACTCCGGTATCGTAAAGACTGGGAAACTGAGGCTAAGGTTAAAAAAAGTGGGGGGCCTAGGTCACGCGATGTCCATGTAAGTGAGGGAATTCGAACTCAGGGACCCTAACTCCCAGACCCTGCCAGCGACCGAGTGGTGTGCCTCGTAGGACTGGGCACCTCCGTCCTCCAAAGCCAGCAGTAAAGGGCAGTTCGCAGGGCTGGACCGCTCCCGGATCTCGCCATCGGGATCCAACCCACTTTCCCCCGACCAAGCTTGGACCCCACCTCTAGTGTCAGATCACCTTCGGCCCCGCCCCCTCCTGTTCCGGGCACGCGCAGTCGGCGACTCAGGGCTGAGTAGGAAGCACCGTGCGCCGCCTGAACCCCACCCCGGCTGGGCGGACTCAATGATTGCTCTGCGCACACGTCACTCTGGATAAGGACGGCCGCTCATTGGGCTGACCAGGTGCGGCTCCGCCCAACGGCTGAGTAAAGAGGTGGGCGGTGGAGCAGAACCGCTGTGCTGGGGTGGTGGGCTCCAAGGTCCGAGTCCGGGGCACGGGAGGCGTCGCCGCTGCTCCGAAGAGGACAGGGAGTGAAATTATGTAGTCTTTTAAGTAAGTGTCCTTCCTCCTGTCTCATCCCGCGCCTCCCTTCTCTCGGGACGGCTGCGCTTCGGGGCCTAGAGGCCGGGCGGGGCCCGGGAGCTGGAAGGGGGAGGGGCTCGTTCCTCTCCGCGGCCAGCGCCCCGCGGCGCCCCCAGGCTGGGCTGGCTGCCCCTGGGCGGCACCCTTAGACCCTAGCTCCTTGCTGGCTGGATCACCCCGCCGGCGCTTTGCGGGTCCCGTCGTCCGCCGGGCTCTCTCTGCCCCTGGAGTGCGGGGTGGCAAAGAATGTGCCCTCTGACCCCCGCAACTACAGGACGGGCCAGAGGATGCGGGGTCCTGGGAGCTCGGACTTGGGGGCAGTGGGCGGGGCAGTCGTTCAAGAGCTGAGTGGCCTAGGTGGTTTGCGGACCGCCTGGCGGGGCCGCTGGAGGGGGAGGATGTGGGTGGGGGTCCGGAGCCTCAGTCCATGTGGTCCCTGGGGGTGGTGAAGGCGCAGGGGAGGGAGGAGGGAATCCCTGCCTGCCAGCCACTTGAAGGGCCGGTCTCCTGCTGGGTAAAAATTACTCCAGGAAAACTTAAGCACCAACAGATATTCCGGACTCTGGGTCTATTCAGTTCTTTTCGTTGCACATAGACTGCTCAAGGTGGGCGAGCTAGGCATGGACCTTGGAGATGTTAGGGACTTGGGCACTAGCAGCCGATGCTGTGCCACTGAGCAAATGACGCGTCTTCATTGAGGATTTAGGACATTCAGGGAAGGAGGGGCTGGTGAGATTGGAGGGTCTACTAGTTTGCATGCGAGCTGGGGGTTTCCAGGTTTATGGGGTTCATGGGCAGAGGCTCATATTTTGATTAGCTCACTTTCCCACCAGTCCCAGAGAAGAGCAGGGGTTCTTAGTGGGATATTAGCGTTTGAGTTCACCTTCCCGGGCATGGTATTGAGGCGTTTCAGAAGATTCAGAGCGCTGGGCCCCAGGGCTGCATCTCACTTTGTGCTCTGTCCTTTAATCTGTAGATTTGGGGCTATTTGTGGCCGGGATTTGGATGTTCCAGGCCTTGGCCATTCTCCATGGCGGAGGGTCTTCGCCACCCACTGACCAGATGGGGGCCTTAACAGGGAAAGAGTAGTTTTCAAGACAAAATGGTTAGAAGGAGGGAGAACTCATTGCTTTGGGGAGCTTTAAGGACAGCGGAGGGATATGAAGCTACAGAGATGGGTGGAAGGCGGGAGTGAGAGTCCCTTAATGCCAGGAAGAGAAACTGAAAGTTCATCTAGAAGGGAGTGGAGGGGAAGTCCTGGAAGAATATAGTAGCCCACCCTTTAGTCCATGGGGAATGTGTTCCAAGACCCCCAGTGGATGCTGGAATCCTCAGGTAGTACCAAACCCTATACTCCGTTTTTTTACCCCCTATACCTGCGTACCTGTGATGTTTAATATCTGAAGTAGGCGGAGTAACAAAAATAACAAAATAGAACCATTATTAACAATATAGTGTGATAAAAGTTAAATAAATGTGGACTCTTTCTCTCTCAAAATATCTTATTGTGCTATACTCACCTTTCTTGTGATGATGTGAGATGATTCAGTGCCTCGGTGATGAGACGGAGTGAGGTGACCGATATAGGTATTGTCATATAATGTTAGCTGCTATTGACTTCCTGACTCTGTGTCAGAAGGAGGACCATCTGTTCCAGACCCCAGTTGACCATAGAGAAATGAAACTGTAAAGCAAAACTGAGCATAAGGGGGACTGCTGCCCCACAGTAGACCTTAGTGTTGGAAAGATCGCTTTGTCGTCTTTCCTGTGGACCAGTCTCAGTAAGATCAGGAGGGCAGAGGCCTCTGAAGGAGAAGCGCAGGACGGGAGTAGGGACAGATACTTGTGTCTAGCCTCCGTGGCAGGAGAGCAGCTGAGGTTCTGATGTTGAGCAGATCCCGTGGGTGAGCTCTCTTCACTCTGGCTTGCCACTGGGAATCACCCTGCTAGGCAGCTTCACTGGGAGAGCCAACAGTGCTGTCTGCATAGGGCCTGGGGTCAAGGTCTTGGTTGTGTCTCCTTGTGGCTCTTGGACTGTGTTGGCCTCACGAGGGCAACTACTGGGTCTTTGTTATTCACACGTCTGTGCACTATTAGTGTTTCTGTGGGGCCCTCCTTTTGTTTATGAATTGCCAGGATTAGGTTGGTGTCTGGTCCGTAACTTGATTCTTTCCTAGAGGAGCAGAGGAATGTGACCACGTGAAGATAGATCTAGAAAGGATTCAGACCCAAATCCAGGGGTGGTTGTGCTCCTCCAAACTCTTCCTGTTCCCTTAGTGGTCACACCCCTCTTCCAGCTCTGAGGCCTTCCCTCCCTGTGTGACTCTCCACATTCCAGCTGTCACTGTGTTTAGCCAGCTCTGAGTATCATTTGTTTCTGGCTTTTTGCCCGTGCCAGCATGGCTACCTAGGGCCGGCCCTTCACTCTCCCCTGGATTTCCAGCTTCTCTGAGAGATGACGTCTCCCTGGGAGCTTGAGCTTCCTGACACCCCACTATCATGTTGTTCAGTAGATGAACAGTTAAACAGCATGCCTACAGTGAGCCACGTGGCCAGGCACAGACTGGACACTTTGAAGAAAAGCTTTTGAGAAAAATATGGATAGGATCCATAGACAGTACAGGCCAGAAGGACATAAGTGACTATAATATTATATATTACATCATCCAGTTGCTTCCATTTGCTATGAAACATAGATAATGCCTTTTTCTTTTGCATCACAAATTAAACTCTTTGGAGAATAATGCTCAGCTTTCGGATGCAGTGTGCATCTTTTTGGATGCAGCAGTAAGTCTCGTGTGGGTCTTTGGTGAGCGCCCTCACCAAAGGGTGGAAGCAGCCACAGCAGTGAGATTACAGCTGGGAGTTTATCTCTAGAAGGCACAGACATTCCTGTGCTGGATTCTGCTGAGCCAGGCTGCACGCTGTCACCAGATGGGGACACCTGACCACCCAGCCTCATCTGGGCTGGTGGGACGGTTGTAGACCACAAAACCACAAGTGTGCACACCACCCTCTTGAAATGTCCGGTACTAGTTTGAGACCTTGCCTGGTGCTCCTGTTTGTAGGAGTTAAGCTTAGATAACTCATGTTTGGGGTATTTGGTACTCAGATTAATTTTGCTGGATTTGCTGTAAATCATCCTATCATTTGAGCTTAGGCAGGGGTGGAATTTTTTTTTAAGGAGTTTTATGAGAGGATTCACTCCTCTTTCCCATTTAATAAGGAACAGTCAGTTTACTTTGCATGTTATTTTAAAATGTAAAACGAATTCTTGCAAGTAAAACTTGTGAGGGCATTAACCTGTGTTAAGTATTTACCCCCATATCAGAATTTCATTCTGACATTGAGCACCCAATTGTATTGGATTCTTATATGTTTTAACCACCGGAACTAAAAGGTTGTGAAGAGCATTGGACAGTGCTCTTTGAATCCTTACTCCTGGATGGAGGGTTCAGTCATTGGCAACCAGGAGGAATGAAGTCCTAGAGAAAACAGATGACTTGGGGCTGAAACCCAGCGGGCTCTGTCCCATTCACAAGCAATGCTTGCTTCGAGTCTTGTGTGTTTCATGCATTTGAACTTAATGTTTTGATGTGGCATTCAGGGGCCTCCCCTCACCCTGCTGTCCCTCTCTGACCAAACTATTTGCATTCCTGTTACTCCCCTGGATTCATCTTCTCATCAATTAAAAAAAAAATTATTCTTGGGTTTTCTGTTCCTGCCTTCTCTACTCTCCATCTTACCTTCTTTCCCTGCTGCTCCCTTCCCCAGTCCTGACCTGT